ATTCTTGAAAAACCTTTGTCCCAACTTCCAAAGGAGCATTTAGGATTTTTCGCAGAATAATTTAGCTCAAATTCATCTTTTTTTTTCTAACAATTTCGTCAAATTTGCCCAATCCAAAAGAATTTTTCTTCCTACACATGAATGGGAAATATTATTATAGAAAATTATGCCTTGCATCAAATCTTCATGTGACTCAGTTGCTGATGAACTTGGTTGAGCAAACCTTATATAGCTTGGTCCAGCCAATTGAAATTGTGGCTGGACTTGGTATCGAACGGTGAATATATATACTACAAGATTTGGTTTGGAAATGAATGTCGAGGCATGTGAAATGACAGGAATTTTGAATGAAATGCTATCGAATTGACCTAAATGGATTTTTGTTGTTTGCTCTTTGTCTCGGCTCATGTGGCACCGACAGGGACCACACTCCCAAATGTTTGTGTTGGGTTCGATTCGATACGATACGATACGATCGATCGCCTCGGAGTTGACAAACTCAATTAATCAAGGGTTCGATTTAATTGCCGGTTAATCGAATTGAATCGGTACTTGGAAAACTACCTGCCTGAGTCAAATTGTTTAACTCCAATTTTTTTCTCTTTCGGTGACTCAACGGTCAACAATTTGGCAAGCCACCCTGTTTAAATTATTGGTAGTGTTAAACCTTAGGCGATTTCAGTAGTTGATCAATATTTTAGTGAAGTTGAGTTAGATCATCGCAATTGTATAGTTTTCATAGATAGGCGATTTCACTTGATCAATATTTCAGTGAAGTTGAGTTGTATCATCCAATCATCCACAATATGTAGCAACTACTGTTTAAGTTGTCAAATATTTGGGAGGGCAAATTCTCGCATTAAACCAAAACAGCCAGAAGATTTGCTATTTGGCTGGTCTAGCATATAAGCTGGGCTAGTGTAACCAAAATATTTTAATGTAACACTTTTACATTTCTACCTTCATGATATAAAAACCAAGGTTAAGTATTGATAAAAAAAAAGTTGATCAAAACTAAGATTTAGTTTTGAAATTAAAAACTGTCTTCTTCATGTCCTGAGGAGGTCAAGACATTAGAGCCTCCATTATTCAGATACAACACTAATATTATAGCGTATATCAGACTGTAGTATATTTTGCATTAGCTGCCATGAACGTCAAGCAGAATACTACTTCATATCACTACTAGAATTCAATGGGTTCCCTAGAGTTTTAAAATCTTCCCTAGAGCTTTTAAAACAATCCTAGGGAGCAAAATATCCCTAGAGTGAATTTTGCAAACCCAAGGGAACGAACTGAATCCCTAGAGTTTGACTGCACTCCTAGGGAACCTCTCGTGAAAAGGACACACAGTTGTGCCATGTCAGCACAAAAGGGAATAGATTATTCCCAAAGTTTTTTCAGAGATTTTTTTTACTCGCGCCAAGCAAAGCGCACCCTGACAATACAAATTTTCTGCCAATTTATTTTTTTCCTTCCCACCTTATCTACTCCCATGACTCAAGGCAGACCACATCTTGTTCTATCTTCTTCTTCATCCAAGGAGTTAGCCGGTCGGCACCGGCGTCCAGCGGCTGCCATTTCATCGCCTGCAGTCCAAGCTCGAGCTCCAGCGACTGGCTGCAGCAAGCAAGCACCTGACAGCTGCTGCTCCTGACACGGCAGTTCGGAGTCGTTGCTCCCACCGCACTTCCATCTTCTCCATTCATGCACTGTTCAGATCCAAGTTTCTTGTGTCCTGATTTCTTCTACTGTCTTTTCTTGGTAGCCTACAGCCAAAGAGCGAGCTCCGGCAACCGGCGGGCACCACACGATTGCTGCTCCTCCACCTCCACCGTGATGCATGCCAACGCATGGAAGTACAGATCCAAGTGAGTGCTGTTAAAATTTAGCTTATACTTTTCGTATGTGTCCCTTTGCAGATTATCTAGATTTTGAGCTATTGAGGATGATATTTGGGACTAGTTTGGAAGAGGCATGGATTGGAAACGTTGGAGAACAACAAGATTAATAATTCAGCTCAGATCTAGCCGTTCTCAAGCTTCTACTGTACTAGTTGCAGCAGCAAGCTAGAGTGCAGTGGTTACATTCGTCCACAAGAACTAGTATTCTTTTTTTTTATCATTGTTTGGTTCTGTGATGTTGTCGACGATACATCAGCACATCCTGAAGTTTGTCATGTGTTTATAAGAGGAATAGTTAGCCAAATTTTCAGATCTATTGTTGTACTACAAAAAAGTACTATGTAAAATGGAGAATCAGTTTGTATGAATTGAGTGTTTCCTGTTAATAATAGAATGGTATTATTTTCTACAATTGATTGTTCTTTTCTTTCAAATTGAGGCAAAAGCAGGTAGTGAAAAAGCAAAAAAATAAAAAAAAGGTAAATTTCGATAAATGCCAGTATTTTCCCCAAATATGGATGAGAACAAAGAAAAGCTACTTTCCACGTCAGATGAAGTTGCCACCTATACATTTGTCCCTGTGGTTTGAAACTCTAGGGAACTGAATTTTTCCCTAGGTTTTCACATAAAAACTCTAGGGAACCGAGGCTTTCCCGTAGAAGTGATCCCTAGAGCGGGTTCCCTAGGGTTTACCCTAGGGAAGCGTTTTCCCTAGAGTATTTTGGATGCTCCCTAGGGTTTTTGGCTCTAGGGACCTTGGTGAAAAAGAGCATCTCCAAGCGACTTGGCAAAAAAAAAAAAGAAAGAAGACTTGGCAAAATTCATTACCCATATCACCATTTGGTTCTCCAAAAGATTGCTCTTTACTTCCTATGCATTCCAACAAACTGCTCTGGATTAGTGGGACTCGTCAGCCACTCAACCCCTTGTCCCCCTTTTTCTTTAGCAAAGATGGCTAGCTAGGGAAAATTTAGATAGTAGATTAAGATAGATAACCTCGTCCGTTTTAAAATATAGCTAACCTGATAGCTCTAGCCACCGAGTCAGAGAATTGCGCCAATGGGCTTGGCCCACCCCACGCCCACACGCGCCTAATGTTGAGGACCGATTCCCTCGGTCTCGAGCGCATGATGCTCTCTCTCGCGCGATGATCGGACGCGCTATCTACGTAACGGACTCACCCCCATCCCCTCAATGCACACAGATATTAAGGGATCTCTACCCGTTCGTTGGTAACGATCGACTTACGGTTAGCCAAAGGCAAACTCCCATCGCCGTCGTGGCGCCTTACAACCACTACACCGACGCATCTAAGGCGACCATATGGCTTCTTCATTCGGTCAGTACACCACCAAATTCAGCATAAGAGAAATTAGGTGATCATACATAGCCTAAGTTCATGATTTTAAGATTTAACTCCAACAAGCTCGTCTCCTGGAGATGTTCCAAGAGAGTAAAATATGACAACCAGTTGCTCTCTTATTAATTTCAGATGTTGGATTGCCAGAATCCAGACACTGAAAGAGATCGAATCAAAATCAGCTGTAGTGACTGATGAGCTTAGAGCAGGTACAATAGTAGACTATAAACAGAGAGAGAAAAGCAGCGGGCTACAGATCTGTAGCCAGCTGCAGCACAGATTTCAAGACGTAACGTGTGTATAACAGGTGAGACCAGATATTAATAATATAGTAAGCAACTATTGTATTAATTGACTATTACATTGACTATAGATGATTTGGAGTTAATAGTTGGCTATACTATTAAACTTGCTCTTAGCTAATCATGCAACTTTAGACTCGTTGATCGTGACATGGATCATTAATTTCATTGTTATTGAGATTACCCTTCAAAGCTGAGATAATCTTTTCGTTTCCTGCAAAAGAAGGGATGGAAAGGGTTAATAAAGCTGCACCCTGCCTCCTCAACCTATGGCTGACATCCAGGTGATATGAGTGAGAGTAGCATTGCCCTGCCCATCTCTCTCTCTATCTATCTGTCTCTAGAGTGATGGACATTGGACACACACACTGTGCAGCAGAAACAAACAGTGGCACATTGCAAAGTTGAAGCAAGCACAATGGCATCAGAACAAAACAGCACAATTCCACAGGGACAGCTCTCCTTTCTTCTTCTTTTCTTTTTTTTTCTTTCTCACCAGCAACTCAATTGAAGAGTTTGGCCTGGAGCTGGGAAATGTGTTGTGTGCATCACATGCATCCATCTCTCCTTTTTTGCATGGTCAAAGTGACAAACAATTCCTCGGAGAAAGACAACAGATCACACTCTCTCACATCATACATGTACTGTATACTCCAGTACTTTACTCATCATGCCCTGGAACCATCACCAAACAGATTCACTTAATTAATAGTAGTAATTTACTACTAACTTCGCATCAAAATAAAACTATTTCTTGTAGTTCTAGTACAATAGTTTATTCTAAAATAAAACTATTTCTTCGCTTACGCATCCACCTCAACCAATCGCAACCATTTTCTATTTAATTTTTTCATCTATTTTTTTCTGAACCGATCATGACCTTCATCTAATCAATATCACCAACTTTCTTAGGTCTATTGGTTGCCTACGTCTGATTATTTATAAGACGTAACGGTTTATTAGTGATAAAAAGTAATTTGTGTATAGAATTTTTACAAGCGTACTTAGTGATTTAGAAACTAATACTAAAAAAAATTACACTAAAAAACATCAAAATCAACTTCAAAAATCAAATTTTAACAATAACTTATAAGTTCTAGGTCAAGCGATGAGGTCTCTTAGTACCTACTCCCTCCGTCAAAAAAAAAGATAAACCCTTGTTTCCATATCCAACGTTTGACCGTCCGTCTTATTCGAAAAAATTATGAAAAAAATTAAAAAGATAAGTCACGCACAAAATACTAATCATGTTTTATCATCTAACAACAATGAAAATAAGAATTATAAAAAAATTTCATATAAGACGGACAGTTAAAGTTGGACACGAAAACTCAGGGTTTGCCTTTTTTTAGGACGGAGGGAGTATATCCAACTTAAAAAAAGCTTACATTGTAGGATGAAAGTACTCTACACAGTAAAAGTGGCATAATAATATGAGGAACGATATTAATTAATTATATATGTGGTTATGGAAGTGTATGCAAGTAACCCTGCTGTTACATCAAGTACAAAATTGGTAGCCACACACTATCATGTAGGGGAAGCCATGCAACCTGGGCCCCACATACCTGTGACTCAGCTACCTAGGCCTGTAACAGTAGGAGAATTGCTTGCTTTTTTCCTCTCTTTCTCCCTCCCTCTCTGTCTCCCATCAAAACACTGCCTAAGTGCCTATTAGCTTGGAAGTGGCCCTAGCTAAGCTAATTAACCTTAAGCTAAGCTAGATCACACAAACAAAAGCCCCTACCTCCCAAAGAACCCATCCAACCAACCAACCAACACACAAATTAACACACACACTCATCTCTCTCTACATGGCTAATCATAGGGCTATAATGACATGACACACTAAAAGCTAGAACTAGCTAGTACAGCTAGGGGCTAGCTTAGCTACTACTAGTAATTAATTAACAGCTAGCTGCTATTAATGGCACATATATGTAGCTAGGGGGGCAAAGTGGTGATTAGGCTTAGGACAGGGGTGATCTGTGGGGTGCACCCTTCCTCCTACTCCCCAGCCCCAGAATCTGGGGGAAGAACCCTCCCCCCTTCTTCTTCTTCCTCTTCACCTCCCCCACCTCGCCGCCACCGCCATCACCGCCGCCATTATCACTAGACCCACCACCGCCGCCACCATAACGTCCTTCTGGCGTGACGGCGGTGATAGCGGCAGCATCATCGTCAGCGCCGACACGGAGGTCCTCGAAACGGGGGAAGGCCGAGGCGGTGGCGGTGTTGGGGTGGTGGTGGGGGTGGAGGAGGATGATGTTGGAGAGGTCGCCGCCACCGTGGACCATGACGTGGTCCACCTTGCAGGAGAGGGAGCAGAAGTGGAAGGGCTCCTGCAGGATGCGGTCGCAGGTGAGGCACACATTGCCTGACCCCTTGAACGGCCTCGACTGCGGCCTCGGCTTCAGGAATATCACCTTCGCGCTGTTGATCGTGTACGGCTGCACCCACATTAGTACGTTAATTACAGATCATTAGCACATCACTAATCAACGTACTCCCTCTATCCTACTTCGACATCATTAGTATAATATAAGAAATTTTGGAGGGATGTGACACTTTCTAATAATACAAGAGCCTGTTTAGATTCGTAGTATTAGGAAATATCTCGTCCTTCCAAAATCCGTTATTTTTTGGAGACAAAGGGAGTAATTTACATGGAACATGAGTGATTAATTAGAAGTAGTGATCAGTAGCTAATCACCTGGACGTAGGAGCATTCGATGAGCTTCTCGAGGTCGCCGAGGCGGACGACGTCATTGTACACGTACCGCCGCACCTGTGGGGAACACCAACACCGTCCGATTAGGCCATCCGGGTGCTTTAAGATTCGTGCAGCTACTGCTAACACTTCGCTAGGCTCTTCTAATAGGACGCTGCTGCAGCTGGTAGTACGTACGAAAGCAGGGCCATGCTTTGACCGGGAGGGGGGTTGCCAAAATGACCGAAATGCCCCTGCCCCGTGCAGCTCAATAATCCCAGAACCAAAGGGCAGAAACGTCAAATCCTCAACGAAGCACAACCAGCCAATGGATATGGAGCAGTGAAAAGAAAGAAAAATTTTGAGATATGAAAAGAAAATTTTGGGAGGAGGAGGTCACTGGTTAGTTCACTGTGGCTTTGATGAACAGTATCAGCCAGCAGAGGGAGGGGGTGGGGCCCACTGGACGGTTGCAGTTGCAGGGGGTAACAACAGTGTTGAGCCTTTCTTTGGTAAAAAAAGACAAGGTCGCCAATTTACCACACCACACACATATGGTAAATTCTGGCAGTAACAATTCTAAGATGATGCCATATTATCCCCATTTCTTTTCTTTAATTTTTTTTTACCACCACACATTGCTTTGCAGAGGCAGTAAGGGATCAGGGATTCTCTATGAGAGAGTGTGTGTTTCTATCTATTCATGGCAAGACATTTTGGATAACCTGGCCTATTAAAGGAAATCTCCTAAACCCCCCCCCCCCATCAGATGATTCTTTTTCAGAATTTGTTTGCCACTGTTAGTACAATTATACCTAATCAGTTTTTGCCAATTTTTTGAAAATTGAAGTGACTTGTACTACTAGTAACTTTGTAGGTAAATTGACACAAGAAAAAGAAGAATTCAACATGTGAAAAGGCTATGGCACTATGCCCATTTCAAGTGTAAGGCCAAAGGTGAAGCAGTAAAAACTCACACAGCTTTTTTATCCCCCAAACCTCTTCACATCGGAGTTATTACTACTCACCTCACCCCCAACAAATTTTACTGACCCGAGTTAGTTGAATGAAATGCATGCAGGGAAAGGAAGTGGCAGGAAGAGGACAAATCCGAATTGAAGGAACAAATTGAAGGCAAAAAAAAATTGAAGGAACAAATTAAATGAAGCAGATTTGCTCTTGCATATTTGCATGTAATGCAACAAGAGAATCTCAATCACAATTAATTTCTATACTACTCCCACCTTTCACCCACACAATGAGTTACCTAGGTCAGTTTTAACCACAATTAAATTACTACATCTAGTGCCAAAGATCAAGGAAGGTGTATTAGTAGAACCAAGAATTATCCACGAAGTTTATATGGAAATTGTTGCACAAATCAGATTGTGAGTGTGGCTAATTACAGGACGCAATCAACATCATGAACAACCCCCCTAAATTCAAGGCCTCAAATGGTGGCAGAATTAACCCCCCAAAAGCTCACAAGACGACAATGGTGAAGAACCAAGCAAAAGTACATCCAAGATTAGCAAATAATAATAACACATATAATCCCAAAAGAGAGGAGAAGCATCATCATCATCCCACTAGTATGCAAATCAACAAAAAGTGTTCAAAGTCTTAATCCAAAATCTAATCAATCCAGGGGGAGAGAAGAGAACAAGAAAGGTGAGGAAAGGAACAGCACTTGAAAAGACAGCACAGGACAAAACAAAAAGCAAGATACACACCACCCCCTCCTCTTGGCCTCTACTACTATCTCTCTCATTAGTAGCTCATAATCAATCGATCAATTCACTCCTCCTACCAAATCTCCAAGAAAAGACTAATTAATTCAAGCATGAACAGGTAAAAAAAACACACACACTCCATTCCTTTTTCAAGAAAATCAGACCATGCATGCAAAGAAGTGAGCAACAAGAAGACAAAGAACTGGGTGGATGATGGTTCTTGATTCATGCGTGATTAAGCGATGGGAGGGGAGAATTAAGGAGGGGGGAGGGGGATTAATTAGTGAAACCTGGAGGAGAGGGTGGTGGCGATGGGAGGGGGCGCAGTGAGGGCAGATGCTGGTGCAGCAGGCGAGGCAGAAGATGTTCTTCTCGTTCTTCTTCCGGCTCTCGTGCGCTGGGCAACCCACGAAGAAGCTCTCCTCCACCAGCCCGCCTACCCAACCCGGCCTCATCCCCATCGCCACAGATCTCCTCTTCTTGATCTTGTTCTTGTTCTTGATCTCTCTCTACTTTCTCTCTCTAGATGTGTGTGTATCTCGTTTCTTGGCAGGCAATTCTGTCTGTCTGCTTGTCTCCCTCTCCTCTACTTTCTCTCTCCTCTTCTTGGTTCAGTAGAGGAGGGAGGGAGGAGGTGGCTTGTCTTGTAGCTGTGTCAAGAGAGAGAATTGAAATGGATGAGAGAGGGAGAGAGAGAGAGGAGAATGTGGTAACGAATCCATGGAGGAGGGTATTTATAGAGAGAGAGAGGGATATACTCCACCCTTCCGAAAAAAAGACAAACCTGATTTTCGTGTTCAACGTTTCACCATTCGTCTTATTTGAAAAAATTACGAAAAATATTAAAAAGACAAGTCACGCATAAAATATTAATCATATTTTATCATCTAACAACAATAAAAATACGAATTATAAAAAAATTTCATATAAGATGGACAGTCAAAGTTGGACACGGAAACTCATGGTTTACTTTTTTTTTTGGGACGGAGGGAGTATGTGTTTGTGTGAAGGATATATGAGTTTTGGGGGTGTGATGATGGGTGGTACAAAGTGCTGGGGTTGGTTTGGTTTTGGAGGTGTTCTTGTTTCCTATATACATGCAAAACCTTGATGAGCTATATGTTTTCTCATTGGCTTGTTGGCATGGGATTGGCATACATGTCATCCTCTCCCTTGTGGGGATGATTGGGGATACTTGGGTGTGTGTGGGTCAATAGCGGTATTGGGTGTGGATGATGGGATTAGGAGGGCGGTTTTCGCGATCGGCTATATGTCCATTGTAATTTGAGAGTAGATGGTGGTTTTTGTGTGAGAGGTTAGAGCATCTCCAGCAGGGGACCTAAACAAAGCCCCTAAACAAGTTTTGAGGGTTGAGAGAAAAAAATCAGGTCTAACAAAGCCCCTACTTAAGCCCCTAAAATAGGAAGGCCTCCAAATTATCCCCTCAAGCCCCCAGGCCTACGGGCTTTCTCGCTGGCTCCTATTCCACACGCGGGAGAGATCTCCCACATCCGCGCGTTGTTTTCTTTTTTCGCGCGAAACTTTTGCTAGCGCCGCCGCTAAATCCTCTCCTTGCATGTGCGCCGCCTGATCAGCGCCGTCCTCTCCCGACTAGCCAGTGGCCACCTCCTTCCTCGCTGCACTCCTCCCCGGTGGATCACCTCCTTGGCTAGCGATCTCCTCCCCTGTCGGCCACCTTCCCACCCGGTGGCCTCCTTCCTGGCACCCTCCTGCCCTACCAGCCACTTCCCTGCAGGGCGGCCTCCTCCTGGTAAACCACCTCCACATCCGGCGCCCTTCTCCCCGGCCGGCAATAGTCGAAGGTATTTTTTTTCCAATGAATTTGTGGATGCAATTAGATAAGATTTGTTCTTTGTTGAGATTTAGCTTGTGGGAGATAAATTGGATGTGTGTATTTAGAAATCTCTTGTTGGAGCCAAATTTTTGGTCTGTTCAGAGATAAGCATGTGGAAATTTCTGTTCAGTTCAGATATTAGTAGGGAAATTCTATAAGATAGGTGGTTAATTATGCCCGAACTGATCATGTGAATGAATTGGTGAGAAAGAATCCGGTGGTGGGCACTTTGTTATATTTTAGTGATCATAATAAAAATCGACAATATCACAACTCAGCAGAGAATCAGTACTATAACTGAAATTGGCAGGGGGAATGCATGGATCGAGCTAATATGGTTTTGGGCAAAGCTCCTCACCTTTCTATTACTGAAATCTTGTGATCGTATTCTAGAGGGTATAGGTGTATTGCTGTTTAATTTCCTGAGCTACACATGTTGGTGAGCAATTTTCGTTTTCATTGGTGAATTATAAATCTTGGTTGTGTGTTATTGTATATGGTATTGTGCCCACACCATATTTACATGTTTGAAAATTTTGATTTTGGATTTGAATTGTGGCGTTTGAAATTGTAAATTTAACTATGGTTAAATTATACGCGTTAGAAATATTTATGTTTAATTATTGTGGTGTTAAACATAGTGTAAACATGGATTGCATGTTAAAATAAAATAGAAACATGAGTAGGGGCTAAGAAATAGGGGCTATTGCTAGAGTTGGAGGTATTTTTTGGATCCTTGGGAGATGGGGGCAGCCCTCATTTAACTTTTAGGGCTTTAAAATAAGGCCTATTGCTCTTAGAGCATCACCAATAGGTATCCTATATTTTTTTGTTAAAATCTATATTTTTTTCAAAACTAATTTTAAGAGATTTTAGAAAAAAAATTGGGTCCAACACATCCCGTCTTAGAGGAGCACGATATATTCTCCATGCGCACCGAGAATAACGGAGAATTATGTTGGTAGTTTAACAGAAGGACCCACTTTTAGTTTTTTGATAAAATTTAGACTTTCTTTTAGAGAGATCATTTATTTTCTATTTTCAGTTTAGGAAACCTAAAAAATTTGGAGGGAGATTATACGTAATATCTTGGTGATACTTTTATAAGGATCGATCGAGAGTATAGCGGATATGTGGATGTGATCGAAGTGTTATATTGTTGTTGTCATTTGTATTGTCTCTGTTTTTTATTGCCAGTTTATATTGTTCAAACATGATGTAACCTGATCGTAGGTTGAGTGGATATAACAAAAAAAAATTCCGTGTTTGTTTACTTGTATTCTCCAATCAACCATGATATGTGTACAATTGTTACGATGAGACATAAAAACAAATAAAGACAAGACAATTGTTTTCAATTCAATTTGAGGAATCTTTGATGGTGGTGATGCATACTACTCCAATTTTTAGGCTTGGTTTAGTTCCCAATTTTTTTTTAAAACTTTCAACTTTTTCATCACATCAAAACTTTCCTACACACACAAACTTCTAACTATTCATCACATCGTTTTAATTTCAATTAAACTTTAAAATTTGACGTAAAGTAAACACACCCTTACTTGGATATCCATGCGTGGAAACAAATTCAAAACTTTCTGGTTGTGTTTAGTTCACACCAAAATTAGAAGTTTGGTTGAAATTGGAACGATGCGACGGAAAAGTTGAAAGTTAAGTTTTGATCGATGTGATAGAAAAGTTAGAAGTTTGAAGAAAAACTTTGGAACTAAACACGGTGCAAATATTTTTGTCCTTTCTAAAATGCTCACATTCACACTCGATATTTTTTCATGCTCCAGTTCCAATCCACTTCCTCGGTATGACAACTACTAGTACCACTATGCCATAGAAGGAGCAGCTAGCTATAGCTAGGACAAGGAAATGCATAGCTGGCTCCCTACAAGTCCCAATCCTCCTATGGCTAACAAATTTCAGAAAGTTCAGAACCCACTTCAGCTTTCTTCCCCCCATCTCATTGCAATTCAACTCATCTGCTCACTGCAAATCTGAATCCTTTGCTTTGCATGCATCCAGCTCCAAGAGACCAAGATAGTAGTAGTACACTAGTACTACAATATTTTCCCCTTGTTGCCTCATCACTCATCATCATCACTGCAAGAGTAGGAGAAGAACTGCATGCATATTTGCATGTAGCCATGAATCCTAAGCTTTTATTGTTGCTTTTTCTCAACCATGGTACTCCCCCCTTCAAATTTGTTTCAAAATATAAAGGATTTTATAATTTGAGACAATGTTTATTCTACTAGTTTTATAGTACTAGTTTATTCTCCACCATCCACTTTTAGGGCCCCTTTGAATCACAGGGTAGAAAAAACGGAGGAATAGGAAAAACATAGGATTCTGACAGGAATTGAAGTGTAAAATAGAGGATTGCAAAACACAGGAAAAACATAGGAATGGTCGTTTGATTGGAGCGCAGGAAAAACACAGGAATCGAATGAGAGAGATAGACTAAAAGGAAATTTTCCAAGAGGTTGGAGCTCTTGCTAAATTTCCTCCAAAATCCACATGCAATGTGCCATTCCATAGGAATTTCATAGGATTTGGAAAGCTTCAATCCTTTGAATCAAAGGGCCAAATAGGAAAATTTCCTATAGGATTTAAATCCTATAAAATTCCTACATAAATCCTTTGATTCAAAGATGCCCTTATACTATTTTATCCTCCCACACACTAAATTTTGTAGTACTTTATTCTTTCATATACCACCATTTATACCATCACATGTCTTTGTGGTATTTCCTTATTTTTTAAAATAAAAATGACATAATTGGGGAGTAGTACTAGTGTACCACTACCATCCTCTGCTCTCTCTCTTTTTCTCCCATTGTTTTACATGGTCGTCCTTCCATCTACTCTTGTTGAACTGTAGCGGAGAACCGATTGATAGATTTCATAGATAGGAGCAGATAATACTCCAACACTACTAAGGGTGTGTTTAGTTTATGCCAAAATTGAAAGTTTGGTTGAAATTGAAACGATGTGATGAAAAAGTTGAAAAGTTTATGTGTGTAGAAAAGTTTTGATGTGATGGAAAAGTTAAAAGTTTGAAGAAAAAGTTTGAAACTAAATAAGGCCTAAACAAGCTTTGAAGGCATGCATAAGACAGGAGTAGATCGAACTATTGATGGTAGTTTTGCGGTTTGCAGGATTGGTTGTGTTCATGGTGATGACTGATGAGCAGAAATGCATATGTATGTTCTGAAAAACTATAGAGATATGAGGGGGGTATTTTGGATATTCTATCACTACAATCTTTCCTTCTTATTTTTTTATTAGCACTACGATCATACCTTAGTACTTTGGAAGTACAGCTATATTTTAGGATAAAATTTATCAAATGTTACACGTAACTATCTCTACTACCATAAAAACGAAGCCGTTCTCCTCTTTTCCATTATATCTCCTCATGTAAAAAAGAAAGATAAAATAATCCACAAAAAAAAGGTATTCCCACGAAAAATCAACCCATCGGAACAAACCAATTAGAGGAAACCTAAACCCAATAAAACATTTGTCCGCATTTCTCTAAAATCATGTTGCAAACATGCATTAGTATTTTTGAAAAATAAAGGAGGGAGTATATCACGATTTTCCTTTTCGAATATCACGAGTTTTGGTGTTTGAATATCAGATGTTGTCATAGCTCACACGAGACCTCGTCCAGAGTCCAATTACGGAGCCAATCATCTCAAGTCGGTCGTTTTCAGATTTGAAGGGACGGGAGATTTTAGGGCTATGTAATTATTCATCATAATTGAAATGGAACAAACCCATCAAAAGAGAATGGAGATTGTACTACTGTCTGATTCCATTTAAATGAAGAAGTCTGATT